GAGGAGGAGGAGGAGGAGGAGGAGGAGGAGGAGGGCGACGACGACGACGACGAACATGGCGGCGACGACGACGACACCGACGACGACGCCGATGACCGACGCCGAGGAGGACGACGACGACGGTGGCGGCGACGACGATAACGACAACGGAGAGTGGCTCGAGAAGTCGCACATGGGCGTCGTAAAGATAAGGGCGGCCGGTGGTACGCAAATTTCGCTGATCGGCTGCCTGGGTGGGGCCTTGTGGCTAGCGTCAGGTTTCCGGGGGCCTGGATCAGTACCGCATAGTGTTTTTTCGCACCAACCAGCAGCTTTTTCTTCTTCGACGACGGTGGGTACTGATGCGTCCAGGCGGGCCGAGGAAACGATGGCAAACGCACGGTTGCCTGTCAGCGCCAGGGCCGTTGCGAGGGGGCAGCCAGGCAAAAGAGTTTGAGGGATGGTAGCTGAAGTCCGATTGATCTCGGGTGCACTGAAGTTGTGCGTCGCCAGGCAGCTTCGCCTGGTGGCGTTCAACACGACGTCCGGCTCGCCTGGGGGCCGCGCCCCAGTGGGTTACTGCTCCCATTTTCTTGCGCCTGGCGTTTGCTCCGTCGGGGCCCTGTCGTCAGCCACCACTGGCTGTTTTTTTTGGGGGGGGGGGCAGAAGCTGATTGCCCGACCCTTGCGAGCCCCCCTGCTTCTCTTCCGCGCAGGCCCGTCGCTCCGGCGGCCTGTGCAGGCCGCCGCGCAAGGCCGCCGTGTCCTCAGTGTTCGGACGTTGTCGTCGCTTGTCGGCGGTTCTTTCTCTTCGGGGTTGGCCCGGGGGAAGGGGAGCTCGAGCTTCGAGGCTCTCGGACGTTTTCGTCAGCTGTCGGCGGTTGTCCGGCCTCGGGGTGTGTGTTCCAGCAGCTGCGCCTCGCCGAGAGCTTTCCGGGGGTGTCCCCGCCGAATCGTCCCGAACGGCCGCCGAGACCGGAGTCGTGGCCCGAAGGCCGAGGAGCTCTGGACCCGCGAGCTCAGGACCACTCGGGGCTTGGGAGGGGCCCTGCCTTCTGGGCCGAGGCTCGCCGTGGCATGCGCCCCTCCGCTCCTTGCGTGCAGCGTCCCCCGTGGTGTCCCGATGGCTGCCACGCCTCCCGTTGCCCTTCGGCGCCTCCCGCGGGGCGGGGACCCCCAGGGCCGTTTGTGCAGATGTTGTTCCTTCCCCTGGCCCCCCGCCGTTCTCGTTTCCCCATCCCTTCCTCGCTGTTTCCCTTTTCCTCTTCCTTCCTCATCCTCCTCCTCCTCCTCCTCCTCCTCCTCCTCCTCTTCCCCCTCCTCCTCCTGTTTTAGGAGCCGCGCTCAGTGCGCGTGACAGACAGGGAAGATGCACCCCCCTAAGCGGAGTGCGGACGAGGACGAATCGGGCGGGCTTCGAGGGCCTGATGTCTAGTTACACATTTTGGGTGACATGCGAGCATCGGAGAGCTGACAGTCTTAAGATTATTGGTGCGTCGTTGTTGTGGCGGCCCCGTTTGGCCCTGTCGTACGTGTCCCGCACAGGATGACCAACAGCGACGCAACCACAGGGTATTGACTGAACCGACCAGAGTCTGATGTGCGACGCTCGAGTGAGGTCGGCGCCCCGGCGCCACCGCCCAGCCCCGCGCAGGGCCGTCCCCCCGGGACGATACCCGTGCAGTCTCAGGTCTCCAGTACTCGTCGGGCGTCTCCCGGAGACCGCTCTCCGTGGCGCCCCGTGCGAGGGGCCGGCCTCGTGCGAGGAGTGGAGAGGCCTGGAGCACCGCCGGGCAGGGCAGCGGTGGCCGCCAGTCTCCGCTCGAGCCAGAGGCCCTGGCCCAGGCTTCTCCCTCGCCTCCTCCTCCTCCTCCTCCTGCTCCTCCTCCTCCTCCTCCGCCTCCTCCCCCGCTCTCCTCCTGCATCCCTCCCTCCGCCCCGCCTGTTCCTGCCTCCTTCCCCCTTCTCCCCCCCCCCCCCCGTCCTGTTCCCCAGTCTCCTTCTCGTGCTCCTCGTGCTCTTCCTCCCCCTCCTCACCTCCTCGTGCTCCTTTCCCTCTTGCCCTTCCTCCTCCTCCTCCTCCTCCTCCTCCTCCTCCTCCTCCTCGTACTCCTCCTCCTCCTCCTCCTCCTCCTCCTCCTCTTTCTCCTCCTCCTCCTCCCTCCTCCTCCTCCTCCTCCCTCCCTCCCTCCCTCCCTCCCTCCCTCCCCTCCCTCCCTCCCTCCCCTCCCTCCCCCTCCCTCCCTCCCTCCCTCCCTCCCCCCTCCTCCCTCCCTCCCTCCCCCTCCCTCCCTCCCCCCTCCTCCCCTCCTTTCTCCTCCTCCTGCCCTCCCTGCCTCCCTCCCTCCTCTTTCCGCTCGTTGCTCTTGAGTACCTCTCTGCCCGCCCCGCGCGCCCCCCCACTGGCTGCTGGCTGCGGCAGGACCGCACCCTGCGCCTTTACAAGGTCAAGTGAGGGGCCCTCCTCCTCCGCAGCGGGACTCCGCTGGCGCGTCCCAATTAAGAGCCCGTGCCAGCCAGGACGGTGGGATGGCTCTCTCGTGAGGACGGTGGGGTCGAGGGGTTGGGAGTCGCTTGGCCCTCTCTGGAAGGCTTCCGGGGACATCTGAAGAGCTCCAGGGGCCTCTGGGGAGTTCCAGCGAATATTGTCCGGGGACTGCAACCTACACTGGAAGACGTGGCATGGCACGCTCCATGGGCCATGGGACCCATTCGAAGCAATTCCAAAGGAAACGAGGTGGAGCGGGAAGGAAAGCAGGGCGACGACGAAGAAGGGGAAGGATCATGCGGCGGCAACGCCCAGTGAGCGTGGTAATTCTTTGGGTCTGCGTTGGACCGGATCCCGTTGGACCTCCCAGGAGCTCACGAGAGTGCCGAAAATCGTGCAGCTGGCAGAGCCCAGGGTCTTCGCAGGACCAACCTCCGCGGGACTCTCCAGGAGCTCACGAAAGTGCCGGCAGGCGCACACTTGCCCAGGAAGGGGACATAGTCATAATGCGTCGGGTCTCGTCAGGGCCGCACTTCGTTGGACCCCTCCCGAAGACACTGACAGCTGCAAGCTGGCGGCGCCCAGGGAGGGGAATCGTGGTATAGCCGGAAAGCGCTGCACGCCCCCCCCTCCTGTTTGGACGCCCGACATGGGTACGGAAAGAATGGATACAATGCCCAACAGCAGTTCTTGCTCATTTTGAACAGGACTCGCTGTCGGTGTCGCCGTGGCCTGTGTCCATTCGAGACAGAAGGCCGCCTGCCCAACAGCGGCCGCTGTTGGTCTGGGGCAACATTTGCTGTTGGGCATTGTGCCCACTCTTTCCGTGCCCATTTCGGGGGTCCAAATCTGAAAGCGGAGCTCAAGCGAAGCTCGAGCCCGCGCTCGCTGACGCTCACACGCCGCATCGGCGGACCTGCGGGACGGGAAAATGACCACAGCCGCTGCTTCTTGTTTGCGCCGCCTTCAGCCGGCCGAGAAAGAAGCAGTGGTTGTGGTCATTTCCCTGGTGCCAAGCTTAACGGAAATGACCACAACCACTGCTTTGTCTCTGCTGGCTGGAAGGCGGCAACAAAAGAAGAGCAGTGGCTGTGGTCGTCTTCACGTCACGCAGGACCCGTGTGTCCCCGGGCCCCGCCCGTACCTCGGGGCCCCTCCGCCCACGGGCTGGCACGGGCGCCCCCTCTGGCGAGCGGCGGCGGGAGCGCGGGCGGCGGCGGCCGGGCTGCTCCGGCGGGAGCCGGGGGTCCCTCGCTCCGAGGTCTGGCGCGGGCGTTGGCTTGGTGGGGAAAGGCTCGTGCCAGGGGCAACGATCTGGGGGGGGGATTGTGGGATGCATCGACCCACGACGATCCCCGACAGGGGCCCGCCGATGGCCCCACCCCGCCCAGGAACGTGCGGATTCGCTGTTGGGGGCCCATCGCCGATCCGTCGGCGATGTACCGCCGATTCCAGGTTGATGTGTCCCCCCTATGCCAGTCCTCCCCCCCCCTCTCTGTGCCCCCCTCTCTGTGCAATTCGTCCCGTTTTTGCAAGGGAGTCTTGCGACAGCACGCGCGCGAGGGCTTCGAACGATTTGGACGTGCGCGCGCGAAAAGCATGTTTTTGTTTGTTTTGTTGTTTTCCTCATTTATTCAGTTGGTGAACATGATGCGTAACGTATGGTTTCCTACGAATCCGCAAGAGCGCGAGTGCATCTCTCTCTCTATATATATACTTATGAATGTACACACGCATATATATATATACATATACATATATGTATATATATGTATATATGTATGTATGTATGCAATATTTTACTTCGGGACAGTCGATGTTGAATTTTTTGGGGCACCCATGGTTTTGAAGGATTCCGGCATGCGCGATCGACGACGCGCGCGTGTGCACGTCGACCCGTTTTTGCGCAAGGGGTTTTGGGAAACGGATGATTTTTAATACTCGAGCGTGCGCGCATAGGAGGAAGAGGGAGAGGGGCGATAAACAGGGACTGCGTGGGATGGCTTGAACTAATATTTCGGATGGGCGATGGGGCAAAATCGAATGTAAATTGTAATGCCAAAAGGCGTACCGTGAAGTCAAGGGGGGGAGGTCGATCTTTATGCTTTCACGGAACCACCAGACCGACCGTCAGGCCCAGACGACGGGCGGCGACGACGGCCACATAGCCACCTGACCAGCCGCCAGGCCTAGACGTCGGGCGGCCGCGAGGCGGCGTCTGGGCGGCGACGGCGGCCGCATAGCCGCCAGATTGCTTGGGAGCCTCGGGGGCTGTTGGGAGGCGTCTGGGGGCCATTTTGGGACGCGTTGATGCCAAATGGGGGGGCGGCGCAGAGGCCATCTTGGACAGTGTGGGGGCGGCTGGGGACGTTGAGCCGAATGGTTCCCCGCTTGGGGGAACGAGCAGTGACCATGCACACAGTTGTACACCACCATCATTCCTGGCCAAGGAGACACCCTAGGCCCCGTCATTATGTGTAGGCCCTTCTTGCCTCGCACTTGTACACCACCATCATTCCTGGCCAAGGAGACCCTAGGCCCTGGCATGATGTGTAGGCCCTTCTTGCCTCGGCCAGGATGGCGTATACACCGCGCGAGGGCCCAGAATGGCCTTGTCCAGGGACGGTGGTGGTGTATACGTGGGTGCCCTCTGCGCAATTTCACTTCAGTAGACAGGGGCCGCGTGCATGGTCAGCGCCTGAGTAAGCACGCGCTGTGCAGTGCTGCCGGCGTCCGCGCGTCTCTGGTGAGCGAGTGGGTGGGAGGAGGGCCGCGCCGCAGTGCAGAGCGAAGGCGCGATCGCGGCAACGGCGGCTGACCGCGCCACGCCGCGCCACGCCCCGCGGCCGCGCTCGGCCGCGGGCCCCGCGCCGCTGGTCGCCGCCGCGCAGAGCCAGGGGCCGCGGCCGCGGCCGCGGCGGAGGGAGGGCGCCCGCGGCGGCGCGCGCGCGCGCAATGGCGGAGCCGGCGGGCGAGGCGCCCGCAGGAGCTCGGCGCCGAGCCGGACGACCGCGACGGCGCCGCCGCGGCGGCGGGCGCGGGCGCGGGCGCGGCGGCGGGGGCGGGCGGCGCGGCGGCAGGCGCAGGCCCGCGCGGGCGGCTGGCGCGAGCCCTTTCTCTCTCCAGCAACCAAAGGGGGGGGGCTCTTCTCAGGCCTTCCAAAGGTACTGCTCCTCTTCCTCCTCCTCCACTCCCTTTTTTCCTTCTACATCATTTCTCCCTGTCGCACCCCGAGGCTGGCCGAAAGGGCGGTCCCGGCGTTTCGCTTGAGACTGTCTCACCATTAACGATCCCGAAGCTTGAATTTGGCAGCAGTTTCGCGTATTGAAGGCGGATCGTTTTTTTCAAAATGTGGCTCTCGCCTTTAACGCCACGTGCGTTCATCTTACAATTTTGCAGGAGTTTCACGGATGGAGTGCGGGTCGTTTTCAAACTGCGGCTTTCGCCTTAGCGCCGCGCTCATTCGTCAAGACATGGTTGAGGTTTTACACATCAAGGGCGGGCCGTTTTCAAAATGCGGCTCACACCTTAGCGCCGCGCACAGTCGGTTAACACAAGCTGCAAGAGTTTGACGGATGGAGGGCCAGCTGTTTTCAATCTGCGGCTCTCGCCACAGCGCCGCGCACATTCGTTTAAACAAATTGCATGAGTTTCCCGCGTGAGGGGCGGTCCGTTTTCAAGGTGTGGCTCTCGACGTAGCGCCGCGCACATCCATTCAACAAAATGCAAGAGTTTCACGGATGGAGGGCGTGCCGTTTTCAAAACGCGGCTCTCGCCTTAGCGTTGCGCACATTCGTCTTTAGAGATTGCAGCAGTTTCAGAGCTTCTCATGGTTGACGTACCAGAAATTGTATTTTGGCACGATGTCGGGACGCCAGCGCGCAGCAGTCATGTTGGTTCGCGGTGTTGAAGTCTCAGGAATGGTATTGTGGCGCGATTCAGGACCGTCAAGACGCAACAGTAACAGTGATGTGTTGCGTAGAACCCCCCGGAATGGTGTTCTGGCACAGTTCCGGATTTTCAAACGGTTGTCTTCCAACTTGGTACTTCCTTCAATGCAAGCGAATTCTTGTGGGGGCCTACGACGAGGGAACTTGGAGGGAGGGTTTCTTGTAATACCGTGGCTGAGTCTTGTATTTGCACTGGTCCTCGTTTTTCTGCTCCTCCTCCTCCTCCTCCTCCTCCTCCACCTCCTCCTCCCCCTCCCCCTCCCCCTCCCCCCCCTCCCCCTCTCGGACGGGCCTAAGACGAGGATACGTCCGGAACGCTCTGAGAAGGCCACGGCGCCCGAGACATCTTCCAGAGTCGCCAGATCTCAGTGATTCTCGATTTATCCTCACCCGATTTTGTCCTCGTCCTGGCTTCGTCCTACAGGGCCGTCCCGCGTGACGCGGGGGCGCAGTGCTCAGTGAGTTCCGTCCTGGGTGGGCGCAGATCCCACGTCTTCGAGGCCGCGCTCTCCACGCCGTGCACTGACGGGCACGGGTGGACTCCCTCGCGGAGCGCGCGCGCGACCCTCGTTTTGAAGAGACAGTCTCCGCGTCCCTCCTTTCCTTCCTCCTCCCCCTCCCTCCTCCCTCCTCCCATCCGTGCCTCTGTTTCCCCCACCCAGCACACTGTTTCTGGCTCGATAGGGAGGTCCACAGAAGGCCCAAGTGCTACCGCCTGCATGCGTCCCCCCACCCAGTGCAGCGTTTCGTGGCCCCATCGGGAGCGGCCCCCGTGCTGCCGCCAGCATGCGTCACTCCCACCCAGTACAACGTTTTGTGGCCCCATAGGGAGCTCCACCGAAGGTCCCAGTGCTACCGCCTGCATGCGTGACCCCACCCAGTACAGCGTTTTGTGGCCCCATAGGGAGCTCCACCCGCGGCGCCAGTGTCACCGTCCGCATGCGTTTCCACCAACCATTACAGCATTTCGTCGCCCACAGGGGAACTCCACCGAAGGCCTCAGTGGCACTTTCCGCATTCGTGGCCCCATAGAGAGCACCACCGAAGGCCCCAGTAGAACCGTCCGCATGCGTCTCCACCATTTCGTGGCCCCACAGGCACTTCCACCGAAGGCCCCAATGGCAAAATCCATTTGTGGGAGCTCCACCGCAGGCCTCAGTGGCAAAGTCATCATGCGTTCAGCGTCTCCTGGCCCGTATGGAGCTCCACCGAATGTCCCAGTGGAACCGTCCGCATGCGTCTCTCCCACCCAGAACAGCGTTGCGTTGCCTCATAGGGAGCTCCACCGAAGGCCCCAGTGGCGATGTTCGCCCCCACCCTGTACAGCATGTCGTGTTTCCATAGGGAGCTCCACTGAAGGCCCCGGTGGCAAAGTTCGCATGCGTTCCCCCCCACCCAGTACAGCGTTTCGTGGTCCACACGGAGCTCCACCGAAGACGCTACCCACAACTGCGGGACTCACAGCTGCTCCTTCGCCAGGCTAATCTTCAATCCGCGGCCCCAGAGCCTCCGACCATTTCCCCATTGGACCAGTGTCCCCATCACAGGCCCTGGAGGCCGAAACCAAGGAAAAACGCCTGGATTGAAAATTAGCTTGACGGTACTTGCCCCATGGGTCTCCCCTGCTCAGTATAGCGTTTCGCTGCCCCATAGGGAGCTCCACCGAAGACCCCAGAGGCGGTGTTTACATGCGTCGCCCCAAGGTTTCGAGGCCCCATAGGGAGCTCCACCGAAGACCCCAGAGGCGGTGTTTACATGCGTCGCCCCGAGGTTTCGAGGCCCCATAGGGAGCTCCACCGAAGACCCCAGAGGCGGTGTTTACATGCGTCGCCCCAAGATTTCGAGGCCCCATAGGGAGCTCCACCGAAGACCCCAGTGGCGCGCGTTCCACCTGAAGCCCCTGTAACAGCGCCCACATGGTGGCCCCCCTCCATATCGGCACACCCTTCGCATGCTTCATGGCCCCATGGGGAAATCTCCCGAAGGCGATACCCACAACGACGGTACTCACAGCTGCATGTGGTTGGGTCCTTCGCCAGGATATTTTTTTGACAATGGTGTTCTTTCTTTGACTCGCTGCCATCGGGCGCTTCCCCAGGCCCCACGCCCAGGGGGTCGTCAACAGCCCGGGCCCAGGACCTTAACCGTGACGTCTGCCGACGGGGCCCCAGAGGTCCCGACCGATTCCACGGGGGTACTTTTGCTATTGTAGTGGCCTCCGGCCAGTGCCGCCGATCCGGGGCGCTCCGGGTGCCTGTGGAAATGAACGACGACGAGGAAGACGAAAACGACGACGAAAACGAATACGTCGACGACGACGACGACGAGAGCGACGACGACAACGACCACGACGACGAGGACGGGGGTACTTTTGCTATATTTTTTCGTCCCGCATCCACCTTGGATGGCCCCGGGGGCCCGAAAGCGGCCCCCGAGAGGGCCGAGATCGAAGACAACCGCAGCTGAGCGAAAGGCATGCCGTCGGAGGCCTGGGGCCCCGCCGGGCCCCAGGGCGGTGCTCCCCGGAGCCTCTGGGAGCGCTCCGGAGCGGCCGCGGCGCCCGGTGTGCACTCTCCAGACCTGCCGTCGGGAGCCTTGAGACGGGGGTCAATGCAAACGGGGGTCAGCCAGAGCGCCACATCTTGCAGGGTCCTGCGAAAACCCCTCTGGCTGACCCGGGTTCGCGAGCTGCTCGTGGCCGCGAGGCGGCCGCGCATGTTGGCGGACCCGGGTTTGCGAAGACCTGCGTTGCCGTTTTTTTTTCTCCTGCATTGCAGTTTTTTGTTTTTTTGCTGACCCGGGTCCCGGGTCAAAAGATCCCCGATGCCGGCCCTCAGAGGCTCCCGGAGGGTCCCCACCCGCAGTGGCCCTCGCCCTGCCCTCCCCTGAGGTCCGACGCTGGAAGGTCGGCAGACGTCGAGGTCAACGCCCTGTCGGGGGTGGACGGACCTCCTACCCTGACACGCCGATTGAGGCATTGGCCGTTTTCGGTTCGCGAGAGAGCGTCGCGGCCGTCGTTTTTGCGGGTGAGGAGGAGGAGGAGGAGGAGGAGGAGGAGGAGGAGGAGGAGGAGGAGAAGGAGGAGGAGGAGGAGGAGGAGGAGGACGAGGAGGAGGAGGAGGAGTCGGTTTCGGTCCCAGGCCGTTTTCACTAAGGGGAGGTCTACAAAGGGAGGTTTGTCCGATCCTGGGCCTCTGCTGTTGACGACCCCCTGGGCGTGGGGCCCGGGGGAGCGCCGGACAGCAGCGAGCAAGACCCTCCAGGGCTCCCTCCCCTGAGCTGCGACGGTGCAACAGGGTTGGGCCAAAAGCACGACCAGAGCCCCAGAGCCCCGGACCAATCTTTCTGCTGCAAATTTCGAGACGGATCGATCCGTGGGGGTCCCGCAGGCCGAAATCACGCGAAAACGCCCGGCTCGAAGAAAATGCGACGCCATGATCTCAGGGTCGTCTTGCGTTGGGCCCAGGCGATGGGCAAGCTGCCCCCCCGGGGTGCCCGCCGTTCCCGCGAGCTCCCCTCGCGCGCCAGACAGGCGGCGCCGCGGCGGCCGGCACGGGCGCCGTGGTGGACAAGGCGGGGGCCGCCTGGGCGCCGCGCCTTGCCTCCTCCTCGGCTCCCCTCCTGGCACCAAGTGGGCGACGCAAAACACAGGGGTCGTTCAGGAGGGAAAGAAACACACACAGACACAATTAATCGTCGATTCCCCAGAAAATATAGGAAAATATGGGAAGTGGGGGGGAAGACAGAAACCCAGAAAATATTGGAAAATATAGGGAATATTTTTACTTGTGTGTATTTATTTGTGTGTCCTTGGGCCCCTTCAGTCGTCTGCGCCGACATTGGCGCGGAATCGTCCCGGGTCAGGCCGCGCGCGAGCGCCCTCGCTTCCCGCGCGGCGTGGCACGCCGGCGGCCCGTGCCAGCTGCGCCTCGAGGTCGCCACGCTTTCTCGCGCAGGCCCCTTTCTTCAGTATCGTTTCTCCCCCTCCCCCTCCCCCTCCCCCTCCCCATCCCCATCCCCATCCCCAACCCCATCTCTATCTCCATCCCCACTACCCCCATCCCCATCCCCATCCCCATCCCCACTATCCCACCACCCCAGTTGGGGGTGTGCCCCTCGGAGCCCGAAAGGGAACAGCCTATATCCCCATCCAGGGAGGCTGTGATCGGCCCGTGGGGCCCGGGCCTCCCCCCCCATCCCTCCCCGTCTCCGCCCTCCCGCCCTCCCGCCCTCCTGCCCCCTCCCCCCTTTCTTTTTGTTCCCCCTTCGATGCCCGCGGTGGCCGTGCGGCGCCAGCGCTGCGCGGCGCAGGCGAGTGGCGCAGCAACAGGGGCGGCGGGGGTCCGTCGGTCTCCGAGGCCGTGCCGTCTTGGCTCGGATATCGCAGGCCTCGTCGCCCAGGCACGCAGCGCCTTTGCGAGTCACTCGCCGAGTCGTGGTCGCGGGGAAAGGTCCCTCCTCAGCTTTCTGTCCTTCTCCTCCCTCCTGCCGCCCGCCTCCCTCTGGCCTCCTCCCCCCTGAGAGACTTCCAGAGTTCCAGGAGTCCCTCCCGAACCTCCGAGCCCTCCATGGACCCTCCCACCCCCTGAGCCCGCCAGAGTCTTCCCCAGACCTTGCGTCTAGAAGCATCCCCCTTTCCTCCGCCTGCCAGTCCTCTTCTCGTCCTCCCTGCTGCTGCTCTTGCTCCTCCTCCCTTTTGCTACCTTGGCTTCGTCGTCGTCGTCGTCGTCGTCGTCGTCGTCGTCGTCGTCGTCGTTGTCGTCGTCGTCTCCTTCCTCCTTCTTTCCTTCGTGCCTTTCCTGTCTTCCTTCTTCCTCCCTCCCTCCCTTCCCTCCCTCCCTCCCTCCTTCCTCCTCCTCCTCCGCCTCCTCCTGGACTTTTTTTGGTTTTTGGGTCACAGCTCGTGCCTCGGGCGGCCGCTCGGGGCGCTCCGGGCGCCCCCGCCAGGAGCGCTCGCGGCGAGGCGCCGCTGGCGGTTGAGCACCCCGAGGCCGGAGATCGCAGGGGAGATTTTTTTCTCCCCCAGTCCCCGGGCTCCGCCCGAAGAGTCTGGGCGCTCAGACAGGGGGGGGATGTTGGAATACACTAGGGGGACAACAAGTGACGTAGACGTAAAAGCTCGGGGCTCAGACAGGGGGGGATGTTGGAATACACTAGGGGGACAACAAGTGGCATAGACATACAAACTCGGAGGTCCGCGCGGATTTCTCGGATCGGCGCTGGGCCCCCCTCCCTGGCGCGCGGAGCGCGCCAGGGGCGGCGCCGGAGGCGCCGCTGGGGGGGCCCCAGCGCCGATCCGAGAAATCCGCGCGGACCTCCGAGTTTTTATGTTTATGCCACTTTTTGTTTCCCTTTACACCCCGAGGGGGCTACTCGGACGGACCCCGATCGAAGACGGGCGCCCCCCCGTCGTTTTCTCCCCAGTGTCGGACCCAGATTGTTTGTTTCTTCCGAACACCTGACGAATCCCGGGAAAGGGGTCGACCTGTCCCCTGTGGGGAGAGCCGCCGGAAGTGCTCGAAGACCTCGCCGCCGCCGCCGCCGCCGCAGGGCGCCGCGGCGCTGGCCGCGGTGGCCGAGGCCGTGGCCGCGGGCGAGACGCCCTCGCCCGCCGTGCTCGCCGGGCTGGTCGCCGTGGCGGCGGAGGCCTCGGGCACCGCCGCCGGCGCGAAGGCGTTCTCGCGGCCCGCTGGCCGCTCGCCGCTCGCCGACGCTTCTCGCCGGCGTCGTCGCCGCTCGCCGTCGCCGTCGCCGTCGCCGTCGCCGTCGCCGTCGCCGTCGCCGTCGTCGTCGTCGTCGTCGTCGTCGTCGTCGTCGTCGCTGCCGCTCGCCGTCGCCGTCGCCGTCGCCGTCGTCGTCGTCGTCGTCGTCGTCGTCGTCGTCGCTCGTCGCTCGTCGCTCGTCGCTCGTCGCTCGTCGCTCGTCGCTCGTCGCTCGTCGTCGTCGTCGTCGCTCGTCGCTCGTCGCTCGTCGCTCGTCGCTGCTCGTCGCTCGTTGCCGCTCGTCGTCGTCCATCCTTCTCGTCGCCCTCCCGCTCCTCCTTTCCCGACCTCATGACCTCCGCGCCGCCCGAGGGTCCAGGCGGGGGCTTGAATTTTTCTGGGGCGTGCGGGAAACTGGCCAAGGTGCTCGGAGGGAGGCAGGGACGATGGAGGGATTCGCGCCTCCTCCCCTACCCCCCCTCTAGCCCCTCCCTCCTCTCCCCTCCCCCTCCCCGTCTGAAGGCTTTGGTGGCGGTGGATTGTGTCCTGAATCCAGGCCGCGTGCGCCAACGGTCTCACAGCGTGGCAGAGTGACAACGAATGCGTGACCGTGAAACCTCCACGGCAAGCGACAGAAAACCTCCCCCCCCTCTTCCTCCCGCCCCCTCGCGCCCCGGCCCGTCTACTGCCCCCCCCCCCCCCCCTCGCTCACAGGAGCACCTGTCACGCTTGGTCCTTCCTCTTCCCTCTCCCCTCCTCCCTCTTCTTTTCCTCCTCTGTCCAAGTGCGCCCTGCGCGACGCATTGTGCCAGCGGGGGTTGGCCAAACCGAGTCCTTCCTTCTTCCTTCGTCTTCCCTTTTCCCTCCTCCCCGCCCCCCCTTCACCACTTCGCCTCCAATGTCCACCAGCTCATGACTCAGCACCCCGACCTCGGCAAGCAAGGACTACAAGCACTGAGGGCCCCGGCCCCCCGCGCAGGCCCTAAAGGGCCCCGCTCCCGGCGGAACCGCGCGCTCGCCTCGCCTCGCCCCCCCTTCACCTCTCCCCCCCCTCTCCCCCTCTCCAGGTCCTCTCCTCCTCCCCCCTCTTCCCCACACCCCTCCATTTGCGCCTCCTTGCCCACCTGCCGCCGCTCCTCATGCTCTCCCTCTCCCCCCCCGCTCTCCCCCCGCGTCGCGGAGTCTTTCCACGCCCCCGCGTACGTCCCGTCGGGCCCGCCGAAGCCGCGGGTGCTCGTGATCGGGGACGAGAACCTCAAGTTCGCGGCGGGGCTGCAGAAGGCCTACCCGGACACCGACTTCACGGCCGTAACGGTGCTGTCGCGGCACAACCTGGAGCCCCGGGCGTGCGCGCGCGCGCGCGCCAGAAGCCTGTCCTGCTCCTGTCGGCTCCGCGGAAGAGCGGCCTTTCGCCAGAGTGACACGTCTTGCGGGCGAAGGGTGGGGATCTGAGCGAGGGGGGCCCCGAGGACGATGGGCCTCGACCAGGGAAAATTCAACCTGGGATCCCTTCCTATCCTTCGGGCCCCACCCCTCAAAGCCCATCTTTGGACCGCCGCTGCAGAGGTACCCACAGCACTGGCTTGCGCTCTTGGATTTGGCCCCCCCACTGCCCCACGAAGCTGGCGCACCAAAGGGTCATCCCTGCCCAGGGCCAAGTCTTGTGTGTAGCCGATCCTGCCCCTCCTGACGTGGCTCGTGCTCCTCCTTGTCGCCGTCGCCGTAGTCGTCGCCGTCGCCGTCTCCGTTGCCGTCGCTGCGCTCACGGCTGCCCCTTCGCTTGTGCGCGCGGCTGCCGCCACCGGCCAGCAGCGCCAGCAGCGCCACCAGCGTCGGCGGCACGGGCGCCAGCGCCGGCGCGTTTCGGGCCCCCCTGGGCCTTTTTGAGGCTCGAGGACGGTCGGTTCTGGGCCTTGCTTTTGGAGGAGGCTCCTGGGGTGCTCTCGTCGCCGCGGCTGGATCCGCCTCGAGTTTCTGGCCGGAGCGCACCCCTGGGCATGGCTGGGGGTAGATTTTCGACCCCCGAGCCCATACATCGGGCGGTCGAAATTTTTGAGACGGCCACGGTTTCTCGCTGTTGTTGGCCTCTGGACGTCGGCTTCGGGCTCTTGGAATCTCAGCAGCTACTCAGGATGAAAAGCTTCAGGAGGGAAAGAAACACACAGACACAATTAATCGTCGACTCCCAGGAAAATATGGGAAAATATGGGAAGTGAGGGAAAGACAGAAACCCAGAAAATATGGGAAAATATGGGGAATATTTTGATTTGTGTGTATTTATTTGTGTGTCCTGGGGCCCCTTTAAGGCTGGCCCCTGGGGGGATTGGTCGGGAGGTCCAGAGTCCAGGGGCCCGTACCTCTGACACATCCAGCCGCTGAATGTCCAGGGAAGCCAACCAGTCTGGATCCCTGGGACTTGGACAGCAAAGGAGGGGGCGATGCGCAGCAGCAAGTGTCGTCCCAACAGCGACCAGTGAGTGGCAAGCGCTTATCGTTTGGGGCTGAGGTGGCCCAGGAGTGCATCCGGATCATCTGGCCAGCAGAAGAGGGGGAGAAAGGGCTCCTTCGCCGCCATGGCTGGACGTGGCTCGAAGAACTTGCCAGTTTCGACCCCAGGAGGGATCCGGAGATCGATAGTGAGAGGATTTGTCTTCGTTCCCCCCACTGACCGATTTTCTCGGGCCCCATCCAGCGCAGAACCCCCGGCGGTTTCCAGATTCTCAGAAAAGCGGACGGCGTCGGCGGCGATACCGACACCGAATTTTGTTCAGAATGGGCTTTCACCTTCGATATTTTCGTTCCCATTTCGATCTTCCTGTGGTATGCAGGAGGCACCTGTTCCCTGTTAGCGACCACCATGCCTGGCCAGGCCCATCCTGGA